AAATAATCTTTAATTAATTATTCAATTTGACATTAGTAATACTGTAGTTGACAAAAGCAGTAGTAGTAATAGCAGCAGCAGCCACCACCACCACAACAAAAACAAATCTACCTAAGCATGGCAATTTCTCTTGTGCTTTTCTCAATAGGTTAAATTGTTAGCAAAGGCTGCATTCACATTTCTTTAGAATTACCTCTAATGAGTACTTTTATATTCAACCTCTTGTCTCACCTTCTTTTATTACATCCAGTTTCAAGAAAAATTGAACTTCATTTCAGTTGTTTTGCAACACAGTTCAGTGCAATTTTTGTTATTTAAAAACCTGTAATAATTCTGATGAGGTATGGTTTTTACCTGAAATCACATCATCCTCTTGTATGCTAGTAGCTCTTCGTCGTTCTAAACTTCGACGCAACTCTGCAATAACCGAATGAAGTTCATTAATGCGTTCTTCATATCTTTGAGCTTGAACTTCTACCTGCTCATCAGCTTCAGCAGCAACTCGAAGTTTCTCAACCTGAATAAAAATAACACAATTTAAAAACTGTTTAGTTTCAGCATCATTTATGCTTACGAAGAAACTAGGGATGCTACAACAGCACATATTTTCTCACATAATTTCCAACTTTAGTAATTTACAAAAATTCAGAAAGTTCAGAGTACATAAGATCGGTGGCATTTTTCAATTTTTTCCCCCACAATTAAAGTACAAAATTTAAATAAAAACTTTGGAAACTTTGGAGACTTTAAGAAAAAAATATTTTAATAATTTGCATTAACTTTAAGTATAAATTATTCCAAAATACTCATTTATTAAAAAAATTGTACGTAACCTTATTTAAAGAATTACATTTTTATAACAGATTTAAAGAAATCATATATTATAAAAGATTTTAAGAAAAAAATATCTATCTTCAATATTGAATTTTTGCAATGTTAATTTATTGCAATTTTCAAAAATACTAAAAGTTCATAAAAAATGGGACCATCATCATATGTTTTAACATTTGCTACATGTTAGGAAAAATATTAAAGAAAAAATTTTGAGTCTTTTTGAAACAAACAATGCTATTAATTCTATAAATTGAAACTTATTATTAAATTAAAACAATTAATTAAAATTATTTGAGGAATTGTTTATGAGCCTGACCTGCTATCTCAGTTTAATTTTCGGAACCTCAGTTTAGCTCTAGCTCATTTAGAATCTTTAAAAATCCTGTTACCAGTAATAGGTACATGCATAAATCTAAATTGTTCAAATTAACAGAGTTAACTAATAATTTTCTGGCTAATCGTGATGGTAAGATAGATATTTTTGTTGATTCCATTAATTCCCTTGTAGGGAATATAATTAATTATGTCAATGCCTGAAATTAATTTTTTTGTATACTCAGATAGTCTTTAAATGGGGTAACCCACTGGACTTATTGTAAAGAAAATGAAAATAAAGTGTAAGACGTTTTTAAGCAACAAATTTTATGCAGAAAAAAAATCTTTATCTCCAAAATTGGACTTACTTGAAGACACCAAAAATGTTTGAACTACTGCAGTTTTAGAAATTTTAGAAATTTCTCCAAAAATGAGACGTGTTTAAATCTCCTTTAAACTATAGGACTAAATTTAATAAAAACATTTGGAACCATTTTAAAAATAATTTTGTAAATGTTGACGCTCCCCCAAAAATCAAAATGACAGATGGGCAAGCGGGCGCATATTTTTTATTGTTCCTTAACAATTTTTATATTATTATATGACTTACTATGAAAGGAAAAATAGATGAAAAAAAGCTATGTTGAAAAAAAAATTTGGAGGTATTATGACCTCCAAGCACAATGTAAATGAGATTGGAATGGATTTAAAAGTATTAAAAAAACCTGAAACTGCATATACTCAACCAAGATACTTATGCACAACTTTTGCTGCAGGGCAGGAAATAAAAGGAATTCAGACATCCTTACCTGGGCTTTGGTGAGTCGTTCTTCTAACAAATCTCTTTCCTGAGTTACAGAATGCAGCCGATTTGATAGATCCAAAATTTCTCCCTTTAAAGATGTAAGAGCAGCAAGGTGAAGCTGAAAAGAAAACATTATGGGTCACTTCAATCTTGGATAGATAAAATAAGAAATCAAAATATTATTTCAATGAGGTGCTGAAAGCAAAACGTCAGTATGAGTCAAATAAAGATCATAGTAATGAGAATTAAAATATCAAGTTATTTAGAAAGTTAAGTATAGTCAAATGCTCAGCAACAGATAGAAAATTTGGACTGCAAAAACAATAAACAATAATTATACTTCACACTCAACTTTATCACATTATTTTACCCCTTAAGCTCCATGTTGTGCAAGTTTGAAACAAACAGGATGCCAATGATTTTTATTTTTGTTTGAAGTGGCCACTAATGAGATAATGAGCCACCACTAGTGATTTTACGTTCTTCTCGTCCAATACAATCCAAATCTTCAACTTACCTTGTTAGCGAGTTCAAACATGCCGCTAGAGGACCCAGCTCCGAGGGAGCTTCCTGCAGCCTCCACAATCTTCTGCAAGGCATGGGGCTCAGGACTCAGATCACGAGCACCGGAATCAAACTCCCAGCTCTCATGCTTTCCAGCAGATGCCGCACCTATTTAAAATTCAACATCATTTACCACTTCCCTCCCCAAAAAAGAGAGGCAATGCACAAACAATAAAGTCTTTTATAGGTAAGATAATCATTATGAATCATAATGTGAAAGCACAAAATAAAGAAAATGAAGAAAGATTTTAAAAGGGCGTAACACTGGGTCAGCACATGGAAAGGAGCATCCTATGCACCATATAAAGAGAAACCAAAGTTGATTTTGATGATTGCTTTACAACCGCTCACGACTGATGTAACTGCTGCAGCATTCAGAACTTAACAAGAGCTGCACTAGAACAAATGGCGCCAGGATATTGTGTTGTTGCCGCCATAACAAAGCACTTCTTTTGTGATTGAATGATTGGTTGATCCAACCCCAAGTACCTCTCGAAAATGTGTTATAGCCCGCATCGGGACAAGTCCTAAGTTATAGAATGGTATCCCGATTTGTGTGGTAGTGTAGTGCATTTACGTGAAAAGGCGGCTCCACACATTCGGCATTCGTCGAGCAGCGAGCTACTGCTCGCCAAATCAAAGAACGAGTTCGGCGAATGTACGCTCCCTTCGATGTGACCTAAAGACCGACATGCGGTGGGTAAGGCGTATACCATATGTTCGGCGCTCGGAGAATCGGAAGCAACCCGTCCACACTATTCGAGATTCCATGTGTGGAGCCGCCTTAAGGAGAGGAAAGGAAAGGAATGTTCGCATGAGGTCCGTGGTTAATTTGTTAGAGAACTGCTCCGGCACTCGCCTGACACTGATCGCCTGACACCACGAAAAAATACCGCCCAGAGCAGGCGGACACTAGAATTCTCCTCCAGACAGTAAGTGAATTCTACCTAGCCCTCTAGCCAAAGTCGAAATCCTCCACAGTGGGGATTCGTACCCGACTCGAAGGCCCTCGCGTGTCACTGGATCGACCCTAGGGGTACCGTCGTCTAGCCGCCACGGCCATCCAATCTAAAACATCGGGATTTCTTCTTCTGGTGCTACGTCAAGGGTCGTGTATAGGTGATTCCGCCTGACGACACGCAGATCGTCGACGTGCGGGTACCGTGGAGACAACGTGCTTTCGCATATGTGTTTGCGGCAGCAAATGTATACCACTTGGATCAACAATAAAGGGGGCTTCAGCATTAGTCATTTCACGGCCTACAGACTTCCGGTTTGTATTCCATGTGTCCGTTGCGTTGCGCGGTTCGGGCTTGTATCTCATTCGCCGCTCCCGTTCCGGTAAAGAAGACAGGAGTTTCCTAGTCGCCAGGCGCTACACTCATTATGCTTGTCACTGCTCTTTGTGCTATTGTTTTCGGAAGACGTACGTCCAACTAGTCGCCGGATATTGTCTTTCCGCGAGCAACCCTTATACGAGCTCCAGTGGTATGTCGCTAGGCATAAACAATTGCCCCTTTGGTAATATTGTCACGTTTTCCAAGCATTGCCATCATTGTGGGAGTATCCGTGTGCGGGTAAAATAGTAAGCTATGGCTTACCATTTTACCCGCACCACGCCGATAGTACCATTTTACCCGCACACGCGTTATACAGGTAGATAAATTTTATTATAAAACACAAAGGAGAAAAACAGAAATACAAGAAAAAGGAGGAAAGATTAGAAAAAATAAAGAAGAAAATGTGAGCAGGTACTCTCAAAAAGGACTGTATGGAGTACCACTCCAAAACGAGCCATTTAGTCATGAACGACGCGGATGAAATTGACTATGACAATGATCACCACGTGATCTTGTAACTTCAAAATAAACTGAAAACTCCCCAAGGCATTCGTGGCAGAGCTTAGTATATAGATGACGCTTACCCAGGCTGTGGTCGCTGCCCGTGGGCAGGTACTCCGGCGTGGCGCGGTGCCTCTGCAGCTGCTGCTGCTGGTGGTGGGGCGGCGGCGGCGGCGCGGGCGCGGCGGGCGCCGGCGGCGGCTCCAGAGGCGGCGGCGGGACGGCTGGTTGGCGCATCGCGGCGCGGCGGCTGCGGGCGGGGCCGGGCAGGGGCGCGGGGCGTGGCGGGGCGGCGTCCACCTCCGGGCGCAGCGCCAGGCGGCAGCGCAGAAACTCCTCGAAGGAGACGCGGCCCAGCTCGTCGGCGCCCAGCTCGCGCATCAGCTCCTCCAGCGAGTGCTCCAGGTTCAGCTCGCGGCACATGTTGCGCAGGTCCTGGCTGGCACGCCAACGCGACGTCACGGTTACTAGTGGCTACCGTATCACCATGTTGACTGGTGGCCACCGCGATATCACAATTACTAGTGACCACCGTGACACCTCATTTGCTAGTGGCCCCCACATCATCACATTTGCTAGTGGCCACCACGTCATCACATTTACTAGTGGCTACTGCGTCACCACATTTACTAGTGGCCACAGTGTCACCACATTTACTAGTAACCACCCGCGACACCACATTTACTAGTGGCCACCGCGACTCCACATTTAAAAGTGGCATGCAGCAACAGTGATGGCAAATTTTATAAAAACATTGATATATCCATATTTTGATAAATCACTAAAAGGTTTTCGATGTCGATCGACAAAAAATATCGTTGTTTAAAATATCGTAGTTTTAAAAATGAATAAAACAGATGGTATTTTCCCGTGGTGCACAGTGATGTGTAGGTTCCTCTGGTGCACCGATTTTTGCTCGTTCTGCGAATCACCAGTTAGCGTCACGAACCAGGAGACCACAACACAGACACTGTTTCAAACGACAGGCCAGACGTGGGCCGCCGTGTAACATGGAGAGCGAGAAGTGTTGAGAAACATTTTGAAAAGGCATAAATTGACAATTTTCAACGGTGAACAACCAAAAACTACACGATGAAGCTGTAATTGAAATACAACATGCAATAAAAAAAGGACTTCATAAATCTGTTTCATGTCTACTAACAATGTGATAATTTTGGCATTAAAATTCCCGCTAATATTGGGACGCAAACTGGTGCCTAAAGCTCTTGCCTGAAGTCTGATACGATGCGCAAGAGTCTAACCATCTTTTTCTTCCGTGGTATTTGCCCAAACTGTTTCCATTTTTAATTAGAATACTTAAATGAAATACCGGAATGTTTTATTATTTGGTCACGTATAACAGGCGTGCTTATAATAATGTTAATCGTATGAAAAAAAGGAAATATATGAAGGAAATCATGTTTTGCTATTATTCCATTTATTAACTTTCATTCATAAATCATCAAAGTAAAACAACCAGTATCTAATTCACATGATACATAAATATTAGTTTGAAGTATATCCTGTCTTAAAGTATTCTGTCGACTTAATTTTAGAATCAATATTCTACGAAAATTATACTAATCGAATTTAAAAAGGGTACAGTGTTCTACAACATTTTTATACCTTTCTTTCTAAATCAATTACCACGCGACCTACAGTTTTTTTGTAAAAACGTTATTTTATTTCTCGAAAATACGAGCGAAAATATGCAAATTTATGATATCATAATCAACTTCACATCATAAATATAAGTATTATATGTAATACTATTAAGCCCGCCATCGCTGCAAACATTACCTCAGAAATTTATACGTTTCTGAAAATTTTAATAGTATACAATAAATGGATGTGTTCTGTTCCAACTCATCTCTTAAACATGGTAAAAATTGTTTTCCAACGAACCTGGTACACTTAATCACTGTAACGTGAAAGTTAATACTGTGGAGACAGCCTGGAGGTGTGGATGGAAAGGGAGTAGTATTTGCCAACAAAATTATGCACGCCGTATTGTACATACGTATAAATGCGCAACTGTCATATACGTGGAAATAAAAACACTCATTAAAGAGGATAAAATTTCCTACTTTTGCTTTAAACTTTATTTTTTCTACACGTAACACTAAGCGAATTACATCTAAAAAACATAACAAAACAGTTGTGGTTTCAAGATTACTATGTCCACATAAATTTCAGTCAACCTTAAGTACATTGTCTGGCCATTTGCAACAAAATACTCAACCTTGTCTTTTAGTGGCCTCAAGCACTTCTTACTGGCACTCTGATTCCTGTTTACCACAAATCTGATATGTCTCGATACTGTAACGTTCTTCATTTAGCCCAGTCACTTGGCTAGTTTGGCTAACTACAGTTGGCTAATGTGAACGGTTTGGACTCGAAAGTAGTTTGCTTCGAAGCGTTTCCTACTATGACATTATTCACCCACTAAAAAAATAGATCGGCTAAAATTTCCAGAATCGCACTCTCCGTGGGCTAAGTAGGTTTACGCGATTGATTTTTATTTTATCGGTAGCTTAATATCCGGCGTTGCCCGATTATTTATTTACCATAAGAATCTATTAACCGTTTCACCCATAGTGAACGCTCAGTGCGCATTACTTGCAGCATGTGCATTGCGGGTTGCGTAATATTTTGTTTGTAAATGTCACTCCCTTTACAACACCACCACCACCTCTTATGATTGTCATACCCCCAAAATATCCTTATCCCTATGGTAGATAAATTGTACACCGGTTTTGATCAAAACAAGTTGTATACAATGTTTTACGGAAATTGCATCGCCTTTAAGTTTCATTAGAAGGATTTTTTATAGAACTTAAGAACTAATGGAGAAAAATGTCAGAAAAATACCGGTCTTTCTGTCCTGTCGGAGATAGCACAGAATCTGGTCGAAAACTTCCTTGTTATTTTTTTAACTAGTGCATCGATATATACAACGTACCCCCAAAAAGGACATTCTTCCAGGTAAAATGTACTTAGCGACTGGAGTATATCTAACAAAACCACAGACACCGCACTCATGACCGGAAGTTGCATAGTTTTCTTTCAATTTCTGCACGCATTGGAAATTAGTAATATAGAGGCAACTAGTTTATATTGTTAACAGTGACTAAATATTTAAGCTTTGGTTGCAGTCTGGAGCATCATCCTCATTTGTCTTTATTTGCAATCTGATTTGATAGACTCAGTATGTAACTTTCTTTCATCCGCAGAGCAGCTGGGGTTTGGGAAAGGTAAGAATTGATATTGGGTTTATGATTTTAGTTTTTAGTTATTGATCATAGCGTAAGATAGGAATATTTTAGAATGACGGTATAATGTTAAGCTGTATTACAGTTGTACATGTTTTGAAAACGAGCGACTTCAGAAGTGAAGGAACACGAGCGACTTTAGAAATTTGTACAAATGCAATTAAACAATATAAATGAGTTGTTTTTGCTTTTTATAACAGCATCATACATTTATCAAAGAATGGAAGTTAATTTTGGAAACAAATTAGTAAGTAAAGTTAGTTAGCAACATGAACATCGGTACTATGACGTCACGTGTATTTGACATTTGATCGAAAAACTGTGGTCGGCAGTGCAGTTTACCACCACAACCCACGATTCGCTCGCTAGGATTCGCAGCCTGTGATGACGCAATTATTCGTGCCGTAAAGGCTAGTGCGTCATAATCTGAGACATAAATGCCATTTTATGGACGATTTCTTGCAACGATCAAGATAGTTTATACTGCTGGCATTCAAAAAATATTACTAGCTTAGCAAGGCGGCTCTGGCGAGGTCGTTTATGTTAATAGTGTTTGTTTTTTAAACAAAATCATTGGGAACTAGTACACGAGACGCAAAATGATGAGAGTATTGATCGAGAATTCCAAATGCACAGTGTAATTTAGTATGACTATTTCGCGAATAAACACGTTAATCGATTCGAATAAATCTATTAAATAAACAATTCAGACGGAAAAATAAATATATACTTTAACCCATCAGTTCATTCAGAAATATTTAATAACACTGCTTTTCTGGAATAATTTAATGTAAAGCATGCTAAAAAGTGATTTCGGATGGTTTTGTTTACATGGTAAAATATTAGGTAACAAGAAATAGATATAGAAATAGCAGTCAAAATTACAAAACAAACATAAAAATAACATTAACTAAATGAATGAACAATTATTAAATATATAATGACCATTAGCGCCGTCATTCAAAGAATTTGACATCTCTTCGTTTAATTATTGTCACGAACTTTCGTTATTTATTTTATGGCGGAACCCCTAGCGCTGTTTCCGAACGATTTCCCTGATTGTTTTCCCCTATTTTGGGCCTTGAATTGGTTATTTTCTCATCGATTTCGGCACGTTAAGTTTCACCGAGTGTTAGTCTGTTTTCACAGAGCAATGTTATCAATGTACACATTCATAGAAATAAATGTATTCAACTAATGAAAGAGGAAGGTGAACGATGTGTGAATTACAAGGACGGGGGGAAAATATTTCTTTTGTAAACAGACAGCTCAAATTAGTTGAAGTTTGAATCAATTTTTTTTTACTTATTCCTTCTTTGACACTTACAAGGCCGTACATGAACGAGTCTTTGTAATATGAGCTGCAGTCATCGAAAAAAATATAATGGAGGTAGAAAGCGTATACAAATTCCGTTTCAAACTATAATCAAATACAAACATGATACTTTGTTAATAGTATCGCGTAATGAATGAAGATGACTGTAACCTGACTCTCACCTAGGGCATTGTTCTAGGGATTTACGTGATTGGGTCATGGGGTGAAGAATTAGCATTAGAATCCATTTTATTTCTTTATTGCAACTGGAATATACAATTTTAATTATTGCATCTATTTTAAAAGTCTAAGTGTGTTACGTTTATAAATGTACACTGCCTTATCTTATACGAGAATCTAGCTCGTAATTTTTTAAACCACCTACGAGCTTTGAAATGCGGCGCCCCGGACCAATCAAAACATAAATACAAACTTGCGACGTATAAATCTGAACCAAAAATTGAACATTGTCAATCAGTCAGATCAGTAGGTAAGTGAGGATCAGTCAGTGAGGAGCGTTGTTGACACAGATTATTGCAAAGAGAGAGTATAAATCTTTGCGTTCGAGTCCGTTCTATTACAAAGTCGTACGTCTTCTCTCGGACACGAGATTTCCCTCTTCGCGGAACTTCGCAGAGTTTGCTCTTGCCAACGTGGCGAGACCCTCGGGCGGTCGATATTTTACCGAAGTAAACCAAACCATTCTTTGCCTGGCGCGTCACGAGGCACGACGGCAGCCACCTCCCCTTTATTTGAAGGGGAACAAACTCCCTCGCTCCCCCTAGCACACAGCGCTCGCTTCGCCCCGAGCAAGCTCAAAGGGGCGCAACCAGGCGCGCTTACATGGTCTAA